TGCCACTCTGTCCTCCAGGGGCGCTGTGAGTTGGAATGGACTGGATGGCACTGGGTTGGTTTTTGATTCTAGAGCAAGAAACAAAACAGTGTATTCTTGCCCTTTGCTTTGGGAGTCAGGAAATGCTGCACTTCCAGAGTAATTGGGAGCGGACACCAGCCCTTTGTTTCGTTCTGCCCTTTGCCCACTCAGCAGATGTCCTCCCCATCCACTGTGTCGTGCTAGGTGCAAGGACGGGGCAGACCTGGGCCTTCAGGAGCCCCCAGCAGGAGGCAGGCAGACAGGTCCGTTAACGTCACAGGAGGCGAGTGCAGCGATTGCGGGGTGATTGGAGACGTGGTGAACAGCAGAGAAGGGTTTCAGCAGCTCCCCCACCTTCTGCTGCCAGCTGTGTGGTCACTGAGCCCTCAGCAGCCCCACTTGGCCCCTTTCTCTCTGAATTGATCTTTTTAAAAGCCATATTATAATGCTTAGTAGTTTGAACACCACTTTGTAGCCTGTGAAATATGTGATTTTGAACTTTCTCCACAATTCATTGAATTTAGATACAACAGTAAAAAATAACCTTTGGTCAAAATGTAAAAAAGGATCAGGAAACAATGATGTTGAAAAGTGAAACGTCCAGTAGTTCCACAGGCAGATAAACTAGAGATTGGCTCAGCTGCATGTGTGACACCTGCCAGGTGGTGGCTCACCGCAGATAGAGGTGTGAGCCAAGCATCCTCTCTGAGCAGGTGGAGCTCACGTTCCCCAGGAGTGTTGTCCTTCACAGTCTCCCCCAAGACCACTTCTGAGACCCCTGTTTGGTACTGCCTTCAGATTCTCTAGAGCAGGCCTCTTTTTTTTCCTCCTTTGTATAATAAATAAGAAAGTAAAAATAATCTGAAATCGGCCAAATCCAGAAAGAAAGAAAGACAGAACTGATACACACACAGACAAATACAATTTCAATGTAAGTAGAATTATGCTCTTACATGCTCTTTGATTTCCTCAGCAGTAAGTTATGGGCACGTCTGAAAGACATTTCAGAAAGTGTTTTGAGTGCTCCTGGTATTGTTAAAGTGAGTAGGGGTGGTCGGTACTTGGTGCACTTGGCACTGGATGTCCAGGTGGTTCTTCTAATCATCTTCATTACATTGAACTTCCTCTTAGAGATTAGCACGTGGATGATACACATGAAGGTCGCATCTCTCAAGTGTCAGATGAAGAGAACTTGAATCTGACCTCTCTCTGGTGTCTCCTGCAGATTGCATTGGGGCTCCTCCAGAGGAAATTATTAATCACCGTGTCCAGGAGCCATGATGTTGACCCTCGGAGGTGGTTTACAGGTTGGCTCCACGAAGCTCGGAGGAGTTGGGCATGAGATTGGTTTCCTCTGTTTTACTGCGTGTTTTTGAGAATACGTAGTGTATTGTCCCTAATGAGCAGGGTGTCTTCACAGGAGAATCATTTGTTCTTTTGAATCCTAACTGGGTGAATCCTGATAATGGACTAGAAAAGGGGGTCATCAAGGGAGGGGACCCGACTCTGTCAGTTGACAAGCAATCTAGCTGAGCAATCGGATTTTATGTTACTGGCTTCATCTACAGAAGATGTGATAGCGCCTGCCAAAGACAAGTTGTGATACCGTTTCAAGGTCGGAAGCGGTGTCCGCGATCTTCATGTTGTGGTCCTGTTCTGATGTGAGATCACTTCACCCACCTCCCTGTCTTGGGAGCAAAGATGTCATAGAGTCCCCATCCTACTATCTAAAGATAGTTCACCAAGTTTATTTCAGTTCTGTGAGGTTTTCATTCTTCTTTTAAAAATATATGCTGGGTACTTTTTTTTACATTCTAAAAGATAAGACTATTCTCAGATGAATATATGATTTGTTTAAAGTTATTTAGATAAGAAGTTATTACTGTTTATGTTTGTTTTCAATGACTTATTTTTTTTTTATCCATTTTGCAAATCTCAGTTATGTGTGGTTTCTTACCATATCGGAATCTATTACGTAAATAAACGGTTTCAGATTTCTGAACCTTGTATGGTTTGATTTATAGGCATCTTCATGACTTCCAGTGAATAAAGATGAGAACGCATGTCATGACCGGTTGACTGAAGTGTACCTGCTACTGCTGACTCGGAGGAGGAGGTGCAGTGGAAGCAGCTAGGGAGTGGGTGGATGACAGGTTCTCCGGCGTGCGCTCTTACCCGAGAGAAAACCGGGGACCGGTTCCAAGGCAAACAAGTCCGATCACGTGGGATAACTTTTGCTTTCATCTGTGCTCTTCTGAACAGTCCACTGGATAAAGCTTGACTGGGGGAAAAAAAAAAAAAGCTATTTCTATCTGCAGTGGCTCTTGCTGGCCAATCTTAAAAGACAAGTTTTCATGTTTTTAATTTTTGAATAAATGTCACCTGCAGTGCTGTGCAGAAATCACAGATAAACCATTGACGATGTGAATCAAAAGCCCTCATTCCCAGTCCTTGGAATGCCAGGTCATTGGGCTGTCTAAACAGAGCATCATGGATCCCCTTCTCAGGAATAAAAAAATGTAAGGTCGGTCTCCCTTTGAGCAGAATTCTGGGTTTCCCAAGATCCGTTAGGAAATAGTTATTCATTTATCCAAAGGGATTTGAATTAAACTTTAATTAGGAAACTCTCCAAGGAAACGTTGGCTTTCTAAGTTTAGTCAACAGAGAAGTCATCTTAACGATCTCATAACGCGAAGTACGCTGCGTTAGTGTTGTTCGTGGGTGTCATCGGGTTGGTCCCAAAGCACAGAGACCAGGTACAGCAGAGC